TGATTGTGTCACACGTCACATAAGGAGGAAAATAAAATAAAATAAAATAATAAAGAATGTTTTAGTGACTGTTTTGTTTACTACTCAAATAATATTTTTTTTAAACAAGTAAACTTAGTTTCTTGATAAACAAATTATGTTAAAATAATGTACAAAAAATATAGAACTCAAAGATATACGTTTTATATTTTTCTAAAAATATTAAAAATTGAAACTGTGAAAATCGGACACGTATTACTAAACAAAGGGAGCAGGAAAATCTTTGGTTTTCCCACTCCACCAACACGCCACATTCAACCCAAAGGGCATTCCCCATGCATTCACCATCTTAATGATAGAAATGAATTTAACTTAATAATTTAAAAGTATTTTTTTTATAAAACCTCAACCCATCATTTCCCATCCACCTTCCAGACCTTTCTTCCCTCCCTATAAAAAGAGTCTCTTAGGAAGAGAGACATTGGACACTTGGGGAGAAGATAAAAATATATCTAGAGGATGTGTGAGCTTATATGAGTGGTTTGTGGCATTGCCGAAGGGGAGAGAGATCGACATGGAGACTTGTCACGAAATCACCCTGTCAACGCGGTCAAGATATCATTTTATTTAAATCGACGACACAGAAGGTGTGCCGTTAACTCTAACCTTTAGATGTATATTCCATGTTTATATATTTCTGTGCATTTTGCATTACAACCTAAATATATCAAATGTTATAAAAAATATGGCAGTACGAATGAATACATACATATATGTTAGTTGTGTAAAAGTAACCAACTAAATAGGCACTACTGTTAGGGAATGCATTAGGGTTTGTTGTTAACGGGCTCATTCTTGTTGGGCTCGTAATTAGGTCATAGTCATGTAGCTATTATAAATAGCGGATCTATGTGTAATCAAATCATTCAAGTTCTGTTCTAATAATATTTTCTACATGGTATCAGAGCCAAATCTTGGGAAAACCAAAACCCTAAGTTTGCTCTAGTCTGTAGCTTCCGCTTCCCCGCCGTCGCCGTGCTTTTTCCGGAGACGGCGGCATCACCATCGATTTCCATTACCAATTATTGTACTTCTGTTGTTG